GGAAGGGAATCCGCCTGTGATAATAAATGTCCGTTCACTTACGAGATGCGATGGTTTTTTGGATTGGCTGAGAACAAGTTGGGATGGGAGTTTGCTCAGAATTTTGACACGCCTCGTGAGTGCTAGCAAGTTTATTGGGGTAAGCAGTCCAGTGCCCATCTGCTATGGCCCGCTCACGGTCCAGCTGCTATTGGTCACTAGGGCAGCAACTCGCCCTTTCATGCCTGTCAGGCGCGAGTAGATTGTGCCGGCGGGAGCTTTCACGTTTTGCGGGCAGTAACGCACTGGAGCTTCTGAAGATTGTCTTATTACAAGTGGACGTTTGGGAAAGGAGGCAGTGACCCTGCTGTTTGCTAGGCGAATTGCAGTGGCTGGAGGGTAAAATAATGCCGGCGGGAAGAGATGAATGGGGGATGAGGCTTGTGCTCCTAAGGCAGGAGAGGTATTCGCTGGGAAAGAGCTGGAGCCATACTTGGACATAGAAATTGGCAGAAAGAATGAGGTTTAAGAGGACGGGGTGCCTGTACGGGATTTTTATGTTCGCAGTGAAGATTGGTGCGGCAAGAAGTTACCAGTCTTAAGCGCGACACCGAATATCTTGCCTCGGCGAAAGCCATTGGTGCTACGGTCCTCGCAGCTTGGACTGGAACTGGCGAGCGAGTTTATGTTGCATGGCCGGGCCGGGTTTTACCAGTTATTTGTTTACTTCTGCTAGTGACTTGTTTCGCTAATCGGTTACTAGTTCTTAAACGCGTTTTTTTTCTTGAGGAGGTGAAATGTAAATGATCAATGGTTTTTAGAGGATTGATTCAGGATCAACAGCAGTGGAGGAGCAATTGCGACCGTAATTCAATTCGCGCCGACGACTCAGCCCGATTACTGTACCCTGCTCGCTCACCAAATATTTTCGAAATTTCAGAAAACAGCAGTTCGTTGTGGTAATTATTCCCTTTAGCATCGAGCACGACCGGATTCTCGGGAGAGCTTCTGTGCCGGAAATCGGGAGAAGACCGGCTGCTCCCTCCTCATCGGTCGACCAGTGAGTGGTGTCAAGCGATCCGCCTTTGTCGCTGCTCGAAAACTGAAGTTGTCCGCCAGACGCCCACGAACTGTCAAGGATCAGCGGAAGCATTGGGCAGGGGAACAGAAAGCAGAAGACCGAGCAACTGTTGACTGCATGGAGGGCTCTTTCCATGCCATTGCTTCGACAACTACTAAAACTTGCCGTAATTCGGCCGGGCCGGTCCCTGAGGCAAGCATTAGCGACGGAGGAGGCGTAGATAAGGGGCTGGTGGTGGGCGGGGGAAGGAAGGGGGAGGGGTAGGAGTGCACAGAGATTTTCGTGCATTTTTTCTCATGTGAGTGGTTTTTTTGGGAACGGATCTCACCGGTTTCTGTGACTTTTTTGCCAGGGCAAAAGCGTCGTTGGAACTTCAAGCAGTTGTCCGTGATTCATTGAGGGGAGGCATTTTCGAGGATCTTTAGTTTGGCAATCGCTCAATTTGCTCGGGTGCTGCACTTCTAGGGCAGGTTTACCCGAATTGCTGGATGCCGTGGGAGTGCCCGAAATCTTGTCCTCTCGCACCTGATGCAAATGCGAGCGAGAGAGAGGTCGTGCTGGTTGCTGCAGAGTGGTTTTCCCTGTCAAATCTGTAAATTTTATAGATTCTTACAGAAAAGTTCTCGGATTTTTCCACGTGGACGCATCGGGAGTTCCCAATGTGGTCGATCAACTTCCACGATTTATTCGAGGTAATTTCGGCACTTCCAGGATTTTCAAAATTTTTGTTCCTCATCCTCACAAAAATTGCCTCATCCAAAATGATTGTAGACGGTTAACAGGAAGTGATCATTGGGCGCGTTCGTAAGTTTGGGCATTGGAGACTGTTTTTTT